GTTTTTCTTAATGCAAGAATGAGACAATTTTGATTAGTATCTTCCTGCTTAAGGCATAAACATTTTCCTCTTTCATCCTAAAAAAGAAACATATGTAACTTCTTGGGAGTGTTTTTTGGTTGCTTGGGAATGTTAGTGTTTGTTTTAATCACAGGAATCCTGAGTTTATTATGCTAATATAAATATGTTTATACTGTTTAAATGTTTCCTAAAATAATTGAGGTGAAAAATAGCTGGAAAAGCTCTTATTGTGGCCAGGCTTTTCTATAAGAGTCTTCAAAGATTTTTTTTTCTAGGGAATGTCCTGACATCTCTCTCTTGAGGAAAAAAACAAACAAACAAACAAACAAAAAAAAACACACACACACAAAAAAAACATTGCTTCCACATCCAAGGCAGGCCTGGATCACCAATAAGCTAGGAGTAAGGCAAGACTGTTCCCAGGGGCTTTGCTGCACACTGCAGTCAGTTCTTCCACTTAAGCTCTGAAGGGAGTTGCTGCACAGAGCTGCTGTGTAAGTTATGATAAGCAGCCAGTGTTTGTTGTTGGGTTTTTTTTGTTGGGGTTTTTGTGTTTGGTTTTTTTTTTTTTTTTTTTTTCTCCTCATGCATCTACTTGTGTAACAGTTCCTGAAAATTCATGTATCTTACACACAGCTCAGGTTTCCCAGAGGAAAAACAGTTGAGTTTATAGATTCCCCTTAAGTGGACAGTACAACTTCTGATAAGAACAATACTCTTCTAGGCTTTTTGTAGTAAAGGTAATTGTTTAGTGCAGAGCATCTTTTATGCATTTTCCCCTCTTCCTCATACTTCCTCTCAGGGGAAGATTATCCTTATAATCCTGCTTCAAACAGAATAGAAATAAGTAAACCCAACATTGATTCTCCTCAGTTGAATGCAGTACAGCATAAATAAGTGTAGAAAATAATGTACTGCTGTGATTCCTCTGGGCATGTGTACATGCATAAAGTGGTCTGTCTTTTAAGTAGAGGAATGTCAGCTGTATGACTCTGAGCTAGGAAAATTAAGAAATAAATGTAGTGAAAGTGAGCCAACAGCAAAAATGTGTAATTGTAGATACCTTTTATTAAATTAATCTAGTCTGTGCTCAACTCTGTCCCCACTATTTCAAGCACATTCCCAGCCTCTTAATTTAATTTGATTGTCAAGGTGATTCTCCTAGTTGTGAATGGAGGATTCCTGATTGCTGGTCAGGAATCTTTTGTATGGCATCCTGTGTTCATCTTCCCTAGCATTGTTTTTCTGAAAGACTTGGAAAGTATGAAAGCTTACAGGAAATCTAGAGGTATCACAGAGGAACAGTTTGTCTGTACCTCTTCTCACTTTTAGCATGTGGAAACTGTGACAAATGTAACCATAAAAACTTTCACCTTGATAAAAATCTGGGGCAAATACCAGACTTTCTCACTACCCGTCTCTGTGCCTTAATGCTTATTTCTGCCTGCCCCCAGCTGCTTCTTGGTCCTGTACCTTACCTGCCTTTCACATGCTTGCTGGCCTTCTGGTGATGAGACAGACAAAAGACTCAACTGCTGCTTCATGCTTTGACTCTTAATACATGGATTGGTTTTGTGTTCTTCTCTTTTGACTCTAACATAGATACAGCACAGCAAGTATGGCTTTCTCTGTACTGTTTCACATAAGCTTGGTCTGGTTTCAGGAAGAGTACAGACAGATTATTAAGTTACAGCCTTTATTGCTCAGATAATAAATTTCTGAAGAGAAGTACAGCTTGATGTGTAACTAGAACGAAAGTTGAGAGCTAAAACAAGGAACTGCGTAGTCTGGAGATTTCTGAATGACTTGCAACAAGCCTCACTGGGAATTTAGCACTGACTGATTTTGACTGTCAGATTAGGGGGTAAATTACTTGTAATTGTAGTAAAAATTAGGCAGATAGATATTGTCCAGAACAAGGAATACTCTTTAGGCATGTGCAAGAATTCAGTTGAAATATCTGGTGAACAGAAGCCTCTTTAAGAAGTAAATTTTCATTTTACCTTTCCACTGACAGTGTGTCCACTTTGCATGTTGAATGTAGATTTTTCAGCCCCACCCTTCTAATCCAATTTCCTGTCCTGAATTTGTTTGGTACCAGTTATTTTGGACAGCTGTTCCTGGTATTGCTTTGGCAGCTATAATATTGATAATAGCTTTAATAAAGAACATTAAAAAATCACCTTCTGTCTTTCACCTTCTTTTTAAAAGAAAAATAATCCATTCTTCTGTCACAGACAGAGCAAACCTTTCTATCTCCATCTACATTGCCAACAAGGAGATGGAACTCTTGATGTCAATTAGAGAAATTGGATTAAGTTGAGTAGATCCTGTTCCCAGAAATATCCTCACTCATTACAAGTGAATTTAGCAGGTTTGCATATGATGATTTTCAAGTTGGAACCTGAAAATAAGGACCCAGTGGTTTTCCATATATCATGATTCAGGAGGCTTCTGTCATAACTCAGGAATGACTTTGCTTGAGGTCTTTTTATCACTCATCTAGGTTGTGCAAAAGAAAGATATAAAAGCACAGCATTGACAATTTTTCTGATCTTCTGACTGAGAAGTATATGCATATGTAGTAGTAAACTTCCATCTCACAGCTGATAATAATCATTTTACTTAAAAATTAAACAATTTTCCCTCTGAAAAGGGGCACATCCAGAACAGCTGCCTACACAAAGTGAAAAGTTTCTTTTCAGAAAGAAGATTAATTGAATTTAGGATGAATAGTGGTGATACAGTGTTACCAATATGAAGAAAGGGAAGAACATAGATTTCAACAGTGGTTGTTTAGATGGGGACAGCAACCCTGAAGGTTAAAGAAGATAAGACACATTATCCTTTACTCTTACATACAAGTCCTTGTTCTTCCTGACTATTACCGTAGGTGCCTATTGTTGTAGCTTATAAAAGATACTAAAATTGGGAGGCTTTTTTTCATGAGACCTGTTGCTAGCTGTTTAAGTGCAAAATCAGGTAATCTACCCCAAATATTTGGTCCTCTCAACTCTTTGGGTAATTTTAGGGCAGAGGTGTCGTATCCCTCCTATTAAAATCTGCCAACCTATATTGGTCTATGTTGCCGTCCAGTCTGTGGCTGATGTTGGAATTTGGTGTAAATGAGCTTAATCAGTTTGCTTACTAGAACTGATTTTCTCTCCAAGCAGTAGAGCAAATCCTAAGGCCTGCCTTCTTGCTTCCTTCTCCTTTTTCCTGTTGTGCATGGGACACGAGAAATTAACATCAAAATATATGAAGAGTTGAGATGCAGAAGGATGGACTGTAATCTTCATCCACCCCTCATTTCTGTAGCACATAAAAATCCTTAAGTGTTTTTTTTTTTTTAATGCAATCTGCAAGTTTAGAAACTAGAACCAGATTATCTCAGCCATGAAAACTGTCTGAATTAGAGGAAACTTCAGGGGTGGAATGTTATCTGAGTACTAGGAACTCGCCATTGTGAGTGAAACACCAGGTTGCATTACCAATTTCAATGAATCTATGGCTGTTATTACTAAAAAATGAACAGGGTTTTTTATAGGGCTGAATAGCAGCTCATCTTTTATCTTTCTTTTCCATACTACTTTAAAGCAAGTTACTGAGTCAAAATGTCTATAGTATATCTCTTTTGGAAATTCTTCAAACAGGATATAGCTTTTCTCTCAGTGAAGTCAGTGTTATATTTTAGCTAGCTTTCTGTTAAGTTATTTTAGATTAATGTTTTGTCAAACAGTTTAAAAACTGATAAAAGGCTAGGCACTGTCATAGCCTGACCCTGTAACTTTTATGTTAATTGCTTTCTAGTGACATTTAAGCATTCTCATTCTACAGAATACTTAAATACTTTCAGGTTCCTTCAGCTAAGGTGCAACTTGCTGGAGACATTGAGATCTTGCACAACTTCTCTTTCCATCCTTTCTTCCTGCATGTAACACAACTCTTCATTTTGAAAAAGAATAGTTCAGGGCAGATTCTTCACGTACATGGATTAAAATGATATTTATAGCTGTGGTGTAAATGCTTCATTTGTTTCTTAGCTTGACTTCAGACAATTCTGATGTTTTTCATGTGTTCATTTTCCTGAAACAATTCTAATTATCATGTTACTCTCATGGAAATTAGGTAGTTCAGATGAGGTGACAGATTGCATTCTTGATATTTATTATCATTGGTACTGGTTTTAATAGGACCCTGACCAGTCATGAGAAAAGTGGGGAATGCAACACAGAGACCCTTTTCAGCTATTATATTTCAGTGTATCTTTCACAGGTTTGACAGAGAGTTGTGTTCTTTGCTTTAGGATATTTTTGCTGTGTTCTTGGGTTACAATTTGTTGCTATCAGACATCTGTTGTCACCTGCCACTTGAAATGCTTGCTGTCCTGTGGGTGAGATATGACTTGTCAGAAAGACATCTGAAAAAGAGGGAAGATGGAAGATAGTCAGTTTTGTACAAATGTGTAAATCCTCATTCAAGGTCAATTACTTTGTTAAATAAAATTGTCTTCTGTAATTCAGGTTGCCTAAAAATACGTGTTATGTAGTGTGTTTATAGATTAACTACAACAAAGAGAAAAATGCTGTGAAGCTAACAGGGATTTGTGAGCTTTCATGGCCTATCACTCCTCCACACCTGCTGGACTGCTTATTTCAGAGTATCTCTTCAGACTTGTCTAAAGAAGATACCCGCTTGTTTATAGAAACAGTTTCACTAGGAATGCCAACAAAACATTTGTTGTGACTCCTTGTTAACTCTGTAATACAGAAATATATTGGAATAGTAATGAAAAATATTACTGCTAGATAAACCAAATAGAATGACTAGGTATGACAAGTGCTGCTTTCTCCTGTGCTTTTTTTCTGGAAACGACTGAGTTCTTGGGTGGCATCGTGTTCTCTCTCCCCTTCCATACCAAATAAAAGTTTCATGTGTTTCCTTTTTTGGTTTTTAGGCATACAAAAGGGATGTTCTTGCTGATCCAAGACACCATAGTTCTGTCCAGGACTCTACACTGGGGATAAGGACATGGGACTCCTCCTGCCAGATTCCAGATGGTTCATTACAACTAACATCTTGGTTGACAACTGTGAAAAGGAACTGTGGATTCTTTTATTTTATTTTTGTGGGAGACCACAATCTCCAAACAGTAGGAAATACCAGGTACAAAATCAGATACTTACTTAGACTTTTCCATAATGTTATTTGACTCTTATTTGTTTTCTATGAAGTACTTTAAACATTCAGGTCTTATTCTTTGTTTCTTTTAAGAAATAGAAAAATTTTGGGTTTAGATCTTGCACTGTAGCTGAGTAATGACAAAAAGTTCTGTTTCTTATTTCTTACAAAAAGTTGGAGTGGCTCTGTTATAGCTTTAATCATTAGAGTTATCTTTATATAGTACTTAAAATTATTATTATAAATTAAAATTACTGATAATAGCTGTTATTATCCTAATTACCACAGCTATCTTTTTTTATTGCTTTGAAAGTTTACGTAATTTTAGTAAGACTAGTTTTGTTATATTTACTAGGTAAGATAGCTGCTGCGTTCAGAACTTATGCACTTGTCACCTGGCAAAAAGGAAACTTAAATTTTTAATGAAATTTATTAATATTATGACGCTTGGTGCATTATGATTCATCTATTTACTTTCAGCCCTTCCAAAAGAAAGTTATATGTGTTACTCTTCTTGTGCCAAATGAGAAAAGCTTCCCTTGTTTCTGTTGGAAGCTAGTTTGATTTGGAGTATCTGAAAGCTCAGGTTTTTATTTTAAAATACAGAAGGGCAAAACTACAAACATTATCCTATAGTGTAACTCTTAGTTGTTATTTGTCTGTTATTTTAAGCCTCTTCAAGTGAACATTCTCTCCCTCTGATAGGAGACATGAAAAAATATAGCAGGAGAGGGAGTACTTTTTGTAGCAAAATCATGTTTTTTTGGGGTAGTTGCTTACATATATAGTTTTTTAAAATTAATTTAAAATTACTCAGTGATCCACTTTCTCTTTGTCCTAAAGGTTCCATATTTCTTGTAGAATTTTAGAATAACCTTTTCTAATGAGGATGTCTGATATTCTCACTGTAAATGATGAAACTGATGCAATGAAGGGTTCAGAAGCTGAATTTAAAGATACAGGCCCAGTTGAAAACCTTATAAAATCAAGAAGTCAGGAGCAGATTCAAGCAGAAAAGAATGAAAACTGTCCTGACAGCAAAACCAATATGCCGGTAAGAAGCCTTTCACTTTGTTTTTCACTAGTATATCACTTTAAATAAATGTGTGTCTTACTGTTCTCCCTCTCTCGTGGTCCTCTTAGATGTTTCTGTGGTACAGATCTGGAGAACCTGACTGGTGTTAGTGAAGCAAGTCAAATGGTTATTGCTTCCTTTCCTCCTTTGCCCCACTTATCTGCTTATATTCTTGTAAATATGAGAGTCAGTCTTTTTAAATTGTTTGAAGTAGATGAGCAGTTTTCATGGGAGTTTGTCTATAGTTGTGTTGTTCTGCGTGCATATGTGAACTTGAGTCTTTTCATTGTAGCAGAACAAGGGGAAAGCTTGCCACTCAAGCTGTCTTTTGGTGTTGCTGAATCCTGACTGAATTTCAGAGACTGCTGTGTTAAGAAAACACTACATACTAATAGCATGGTTTGGTCAAAACTAAACTGTTGAGTGTTGCCTGGGTGAGCAAAGCGTTGCAGCACAGCTCAGCACGGCTGCCCCGACTGGGGCTCACCAATCTAGGGCTCTTCAGCCTGGTGCAGCTTACAGGTGCCTCAGGGGTAACTTACAGCAGAGCTGTACAGCGTAAGGCCCAAGTCCTCAGACATAGGTAATCCAAATCCCTCCGTGTCAGAGGAATCAAATCAGCAGAGCTCCTGAGGCTAGTGGTCTGAGTCTTGCACTAGCCACCAACAGGTCCTGCATTAACAGAGGAGTGAGCTGGTCAACTATCATCCCGTCTTGACTGCCAGTTAGTAATCCCTCTGCTCCCTTCTCCTCCATTTTTTCACTACTGGACCATTGTGGTATGTGATTTATTAGGTAGGAAGGCTTAGGCAGTCCTCATGCATATGCTGAAAAGCTGGTGCATGTAAGAGAATGGCCTTTGCAAGGTGGGAGATGTGCCTATAAAGAAATCGTGGCATCAGATTCCAAGTGAGAAGGAGATGGGGAAAATAGCATGAAAATATCTTGTGTTAAAGGAGAACACACCAATAAGAATTTATGGCAACGGGTTTAATACCTCTGAGTCTCAGTTGTGCAGCCCCACAGTACTGAAAGATCTTTCCCATGGGAGCTAACTCCTGGCTGAGGCTGCCCACTCAGTCATTGATGACTGTAAGTGTCTTAGATGAGGTGAGGAGTTAAGGAAAGCAACTGAAAATCTGGCACAACCTAGAAAACAGCGCAGATATCTCAGAGAAAACACAGCAGCTTCTGTTTAACAAAAACTAATTTTCTATAGGAATTCTGTGTTTGTGGGTTAATAATAAACAATTTTCTGATGAAAGTCCCAACTGGGATATGGGGTATGGCAGTGTTCTCTTATGGGTTAGTAGGACAGTAGCTTATTACATTCTTGTTATTGAGAAATGAGTAAAAGGTTCTTGTGGGAGTAGTTTTGTTCAAGTCTAACAATTCAGTATTCCACTGAGTGAAGTAGGGTGTATTGCTATGTTAAATTGCTTCCAAATAAATCTTGTAGACCACTGTAATAACTACAGTTTTACAGTTCAATATCTTTTGGCTTTATTAAGGCTGGATGAGTGTAAATAGATAATTTTATGGAAAAAAATAAATCTTAAAATGAAATACTTCTCCTGTAACACAGGAGAAAAAACTGCTACTGAAAAGCTGGTAGATGTAACAGCTGAGCTCATATTTTCTTTAATCAACAGAATATCCCAGTAGTGAGCTGTAAAATTAATTCAAGGTTTATTTATTTTCATACAGTTCAGTAATTTGGAAAAATCTCATTCACGTTTTCTCATTCAACAAATTTCAGCATGGAAGCTTCTGCGAGACTTATGTGGCAAATCTGCATTCCTGCCAGCCAATGTTGCTGTCACAGTCAGACCTAGTCTAGAGTAATCAATCTGTTGGTGCTGTCAGTGGCTGTAGGGTTTGGTAAAGGGGTTGCCAGCTCAGTTTTGTTCTTCTACAAGAGTAATAGCTTGTGGCTGAAATAATTATCTAGCATACACAAGACAAACAGAACTACTGTGTGATGAAGGTTGTTTGATTGAGACAGCTTTACTATCGTCTTCATTTAGCACTGATGTGAGTGTTGTGTCCAGCAGTATCCATCAGAATATTGCTGTTATGTCAGTAGTGTAATTGAAAATGGAGCTTATAGGCTTCTGGAGTTGGTGGGAAGACAGTCAATTAGAAAGTGGAGCCCTGCTAATGTAAATCCTTTGCAATGATTTAAGTCAGTAAAAGTTAGTCACTTGTACTGTGGGAGCTGCTCATGCAAATATCCGTGTTTATATATTTGAGACTTTTTCACTGAAAGAAGGTTTTATGCTCCAATGCAAAACACAAATTTTGGCCTGTCCATAGTAAACAAAACTTCTGGCAACAGTAGTAGCAAGCAAGTAGTCAGCAAGTTTTTAACTAATGGATGATTTAATCATTTGACTAGAGAAATTTCACTGGATGAGCTACTTTTAATTAAGTGTGGCTTAACTGTCACTGTAATGATGGGGAAAAAGAGCAAAGTGTTTGCTGAGGAATGTTAGAGAAGATTATCATAAGCTTACTAGAATTTGTTGTGGTGTTTTATTTACTGATTGAGTATATCAGGGGACAGTCTGGGAGTGGGAGTTGTAGGGGCTTTGGTTTTGGCTTTCCAAACTAGTAGTTAATTGCTTAGTAAGTCTCATACCTATTGGCAAACTACAACGATACTCCTAAGCGTAGGTATCACTTGAGTTCTAATTTCTTTACTGACAGGTAAGAAATAGGCTGTGATATGTCCTCTGTCTCAACCTGTAATTGTTTGAATTCAGCTACGTTTCTGGAGCTTCACAGTTCCAGACACTGCTGATTATATTTTGAAGTGTAACTGGCTCTAAACTGCATGTTATTTTGAGATGTCATGCATTAGTAACCTACTTGCTGTTGCATACACCGATGGAGGTACAGTGTGTAGGAGAGAAATCTTATTAGAGTATGTGGCTAGCACTAACAGTTTATTTAAGCAATGTGAGAGGAGTACAATTGATGTAGAGATTATTAGGGAAGATTTTTGAATTGTCATATTTTTAAGCAACCATCAAGTAACATTTGAATGGGACTGGATATAAAAGGCATCCATATGAAAAATACTTTTACAGAAGTCTTGTGCATGTCAGCACTATGGTAGTTCTTTGTGATCAAAGTGGTTTTGGTTCACCAGTCGCTGTTGTCTCCCATCTGTTAATCTTAACCAGGTCAGGTGACAACATACTAATTCTCAATTAGCTGGAACTTGGGGTCTGAAGTTTTGTCATTGGGTGGTGGGACAGGTAATATTTCATCCTCCTGTAAGGACTGCTGTTACATTGTTAATGTGTTGGGAAATAAAAAAAAAAAAATAGCCTGGATTTGTCTTAGAGGATTAAAAAAAAAAAAAAACAAAGAATATTTTAAATTGCTGTAACAATTTTTGTTGATTTATGTATGATCTAGAAAATGAGGTTTGTTCTTATTTGATAATCCATGCACTATGCGGGTTAGGGGGAGAAGAATGTTAGTCTTAATGTTAGTGTCATCTCTGCACTGAAAATAATCAATAAGCAGTTATAAGGTACTTGATGGAGTGATGATTGCTAAGACAGTAAAAGACTGAGAAAGAAAGCTGCATGTTGTTATATATCGGGGAAAAATACTTGCAAACTGTGGAGAGTGGAACTAAAATATCACCAACAAAAAAGCCTCATGGAAGGATGGAGGCTGGTGTGTGAGCAGGAGTCATATCCATCCACTGTATCATGTGTTGTATTGAATGAGTATAATTCTGTTTTGAATTTATGCTAATTAAGCAGATAACCCTGTCTTTTGGAGGAATTGGATTTTTTTTTTTAACTTGGCAACTAGACATCTTTGTTTCTACAAGTTTTTTCCCTCCATACCAGCACAAACCTTTGTTTCTTCTCCATTCCACAGCTTGGGTTCTGTGAAGCCTTTCATTGCCTCTTCCCCAGCTGTTTTGCTTTCGTCAGGATTTACCTGTCTTTGTCTCTAAAATATGTGACTTAGAATCTAGCTGATCATTATTGATTTAAAAAGTATTGTTTGGTTACTCTTGAACTGTTGAAATGCCTGTGTCCAATGAAGAAACTATTTTTCCATCAGCCATCTCTACTGTGTCATGGAAAATTGCTGTTACTACTTGCTAATACAGCACAGCAAGTAACCACAGACCACACTATTCTTTCCTTCTGTATTATAAAGCTCTCTGTAGTTTTTAGGACAGTAGCCCTTAACTGGATTTAAAATTGAGACCTAATTTAGAAGAAAGGTGAAAATCTGAATGTCCTTAGAACACTCCTTGTCCAGGTCTGTCATGTCATGCCTGTGCTCTGAAATGTCTGAACTTCAGAAGTAGATGTAGTACCTGCTCACAAAACCTTTCACATGTCTAGTTTGCCATCTTGAGCCTGACCTGCTTTTATCCAAAATGTTTAGACAGTAGGGTGATGAGAGAGGAGGCAGCTCTAAATCTTTACATTTCATTTAATATACATGATCTGTGGAGGTTATTGGGAAAAAATGAAATAGGCAAATACTCCTACAGAAAGTCTGGATGTATATGATTCTATGTATTTGAGAAACTCTGTTCTCCTTCCCTTTTTATTTTGTAGCTGGAAATGAAGCATGGTAACTGATCTTAAAAGTTGTTTAGTTTGGTTGTTTTTTTAAGACAAACACCTAATAATTATTTTCATTATGTGATTGTTTGGAATACTTGCTTTTAAACTCTGGCTTGAAAGCATGCCCATAATGACTTTAAATGGGACAAATTTATTTTTAATCTTGCTTTCATTACACAGTGTTTTCTCAAGTCAGTAAAAGTCTTTGAGAGCTGCAAATGTGAAGAAATTGCTTAATTTGCACTCATTAAGGATTACGTATTCTAAAGTAGCGATAAATTATTTTTCACAAATGGAGAACATAAAGATGCTCTGTAGGAGCAAAACTTAGTATATGCTGAGAACTAGGACAGAACTAAAATTCACAGACCCAAAAAGGGAGAAAATATGCATTAACAGCTACGACATGGACTGCCCACTTGTTGTCCTGGGGTTCCAGTGGGAGTGTAGTTATCCTTGGCTGGCGTGGGTTTGCCCAAGAAAGGAACTGTGCCCAGTTGTCTTCAGGTTTTGTGAGTGCAGTTACTATTGATGTCACAGGACTTTGGGGGTTTCCAGGCACAGACCTTACATCATAGGCCTTTTCTGACTTTAACTGTCCCTGCAGTCTAGCCATACCAGATTCATTGCAGTGCTTTTTCCCTGTCGAGTGTGTGGTGCTTATTCCTCACAGTTACAGCTGGATGTGGGGACTTGTTTTTCAGGTTTTGACATCCCTAAAGTCATGCAGGAAAGCAAGGAATCCACGCTACCAAAGGATTGTTTTACAAGGCAGTTTTTTTCCAGATAACAGGTCTTAATATGGTGGGTGGGATGATACTTATCTCATGTGCAACTTTGAGGTTTGAGTCAATTTAGTCAATGTAGAATCTCCCTCCTACATTGGCCTCCCAGCTCTCCCCAGTGTTATTTGTGTTGGTTTGGTCCCTAAATACTGTCAGTTGCTCATGAAACTGAGCACTGTGGTATTCAAATACCTTCATTTACTACCCTGAATATCCTAGAATTAACTTTGAATCCTAGGATTTAACTTATTCACCACAGATTGCAAACACCTATCTTTAAAAAACAGTAAATCTTTAAATGCAACATAGTTGACAGTGTTGGTTGGGTTGGCTTTCCAACACAGAAACAGAACTGTAATTCTGCAAGCAAAATGGAAGATGAGATACAACGCATGTCAAACACCTAAAGGAATGTACCATCAAACTTGCCCTACTGTGAAATCTGAAAACCACATTAATTTTAACCATTCTTACAAAGAATTCAGATTTGATACTAGATCATTTCATATTGAAATTGAATTCTTAATTGCATTTTGAGGCGTTTGCTTTATTTTATCTGGTGGGAATAAACTTCAGTTTTGGCTGCAGTGGCTTCCTGAGACTTTACAGAGGTAAGATGAGGATGAGATATGTGCTTTGTACAAACCTTAACTGAATTTAATTATAATACAGTTCCTGCTTCCTACCAACAACCTCTTTTTTTTTTGTTTTGTTTTTGTTTTAAATCACTCTGAAAAATGGTGGAAATATGTATGCCTTATCTCATTAATAAGCTCTAACTCATGTGAAAAGTTGTGGTTAACAGTATTAGGAATTGTTTGGCAAATTTAAAATGTCTTATGTCCTGTATAACTAAGATGATAGGGTTTTATTCTGCTATTTCCTACACCTGCCTCTAAAATGGTGGATCTGGGAGGTTTGCTTCCATATACTCTTCTCAGTTATGTACTGGCTTCAAAATTTCCAAATTTTTGCAAAAGGCAAACAATTACCCAAGTGCATGCTCTTTGTTTGTTGTTTTGACAGTCAACTGAGGGCTCCACTGGCAGTGCTGATATAATTTTAAGTTTACGCTACTTGATTTGAACCCACCTGAGATAATTGATGCTGGAGTAATTGAAATGAGACTGGGAAATCATCCAGTTCTTGGAAGTTTAGTAGCTTTGTGTAATAGAAACTTTGCCAGGGCTAAGCAGAGTGCCAGCTTTCAGTATGCTTTCAGCATAGCTGATTGAAAGGAAAAAATATTTTGCAGGTAACAGCAAAATTTGAAGTCTCTGTATTGTTCCAGATAAGAAAATATTTGAACTGTCTTGCTGTTCAAAATCTCAGCAAGCTTCCTTTAAGAAAATGATGATTTCAGTTAGTTTTCAGAGCTGCTATTTAAAATCCTGTTATATAGTGAAATGAGCTTAAATGAGCTCTCGGTCTGCTGCTCTTCAGCTAAGCTGATGCAATGTCCAAAAAACGCATTTGCGACTTGAGGGCAGTAAGAGAAATAGGGTTTCTGCTGCCTTCACAAGGTAGAAACCTTTACTGTTGGCTAGGTGTTCTTTTTAGCAACATGTGAGTCTTACTAAGAAATTAAGGCCCTTAAAAACATTTGAAATTACATTACCAGTGTTACTTTTTCCTGACAAACATTTGGCCTATGCTCAGTAAAACCAGTTCTGTTAAAGGCTTGTCTGTTCTTCAGTTCTACAGTGACACTGATCCTTAAGTTACATTATGCCACTGTAAGTGCTCCTGTGTAGCTGGCACAGGGGTTGAGTGAGTTTACCTATGCAGTTAAGAAATTGTTAAATGCTTTTGTTGATTTCAAATGTACCTTTCAATTGTGCATACTGTAGTAAAACTGGTTAAAAACCAACCAAACAAAAAAACCACCCCACACATTAAAAGAAAGAGTAGTAATAGAACAAGGGATCTGGGAAGAGAGAGAAAAAATTAATGCATAGTAAGTTAGTGAATTAAAGGAAAAAAAAAAAAAAATTTGACCAGTAGCCCATCTTGAAATCCATTTCCATAAGTCCTAAGATGAAAGAAAAGGAAAAGAAAAAAGGAAAAAACCTAAAAAACAAAACCCACACACAATAACCAACCACCAAATATGTTTTGACCTGCTTATGATAGGTGGTCATCTGTTCCCCTGATAAAGGCAATGTTTTCCTTTGGTTCCTCCCCCCTTTTTTAATCTAATTTTTCCAGGTAGGTTTCAGGAATAGGAATAAAATTTATAAAGCCGTGTCATGTCAAGGAAATTAGGACGTGAGAATTTACAGTAAGCTGCTGGGGTCTTACTGAACAGGAATAATGCTTGCTTCCTGTTGAATTCCTGTAGTATCTGTTCTCAATAAATGAAAGGGAGAAATCAAGGATAAGCACAGTGAAACTGGGAGGGGCACATTATCCTTCAGCCAAAAGCACCTCCTGATCCTTTTACAGATTGGACCATCATGTCAGTAATAACTGTGAAAGCTTCCTCTTGTATAGACTTCTGCATTATTAAAGCTGTTCTATTGAGTTTAATATAAACCTTTTCTGTTGTGCCTATCATTCAGCGGCCAGTGCAGTCTTTTGGACAGACAGCAAAAAGGTCGAAGGTATGGTAGACTTGTGTGCTGGCATGCTAAGGAAGCCCTTCATGCTTGGTGAAGCTTTGTTACTTTGTGAAAAGTGCCTTTAGTTTTATTTTTTGGCATTGAAGCTTTGTTTTATTCTGTTGGGTTTTTGTCTTGCCTAGTTGTCTGCTTTTGTGGTTTGCCTTTATATTTTCAGTGGCTTTTTATTGTTACAGAGAGAAACACTTTCCCAAAGATTTTATTTACTTTTCATTAGATGTGATCTATTGTGCTGGCAGTGCCTTCAAAAGCTGCAATTACTTGGATATTTTCATCCTAAAGGAAATTACTTATTCTATTAAAAATATTAAAAATGCAGTTTCCAGCCATTTTGTTTTACATAAAATGAATGGAAAAATAACGGCTTATGGTATATTTATATATATTTTTAATATAAGCCATAGTTTTTAATTTTACATACTTTCCTTTAGTCAAACACAAAGTTAAAGTTAGTTCGGAGCCTTGCTGTATGTGAAGAATACCCACCACCTCCCACAGCTGAAATATCACAGGACCTCCAGGTAAAAATCACGTTACTGACGTTTCTGAAACAATTTAAAGTAACTTATTGTTCAGAAGGAAATCTTTTGGGTAATCCTTAAATATGAAGACACGATCTGTTGTTATTTTATTTTTATTTTTTTTTTTAAATACAGCTTTAATAGAGGTGGTAATACCTGATGAAGAATTTGCTGCCTTGTTTTTCTGAACTGTAATGGTTGATGTCTGGGGAACAGGAAGAGTGATTTTGTTAGTTGTAGCTTTCTAGTGTTACAGTGCATTTGAGCCAATCTTGAACTGTGTAAGTGCTGTCTGCCATCAGCATGACAGGATAATTATTAATATGCAACATCATTTATTGGCTTTTTATATTTAGAAAATTTAGGCAGTTGTAAGTTCTAGTGTTTTAACTGCATGCCTGCATATTAGTCTTAATTGCTCATAGTACCATTAACACATGCTAGAGGTATGTCTGAAGAGTAATCTGTTAAGATGATGGAACACTTAAAGAAATTTCTAAATGCTGGGTGAAATATGTTAATATTTAAAAAAAAAAAAGCCAAAAACCCCACCAAACTTTAGAGGCTTTAAAGCAAAATCTAGTTTTCATGACTTTACCTTCATATCAGTCTGTATTTTTTAGAGTAGGATACAATTACTAGTTTCAGTTCTGTGTATAAACTACAGTGTACAAATGAAGGGTATCAAAATACTTTTCTCTTTCCACTCCTAGCAAAACTGAAATGACCTTTAGTGGTTTGCTCGAAGTATGTTGGCTTATTTAGCTGTTACTTGAAAAGCTTCTAAACTGTCTCTTTGTGAAAATGTTCTTTTCTTAACAAGCAGAAGGAACCAGCAGAATAGCAGGGTGTGAGAGGGTTTTACTAGGGGAGTGGTAATTCAGTTCTGGGGAGGGAGAGAGATTTAGAACTCACGTAATTATTTGTCAGGCTAGTTTAAAGTTTTGTAAGATTGAATCACTGAGTATCCAAGATACTTGAGGTTTTTTCCTTGGGAAAAATGAGACCATATTTTTTGTAGTCTTTCACTAATATACCAGTATGTGAAGAGCTGACCGGAGAAATTTTGAAACTGGCCCTTCTAATTTGATGAAAGTCTTAAATCTTAAATTCATGTAGGGTGCAGGATATGGAATTGTATATTAAGAAACAAAATAAGATCTAGCTGGTTTTTTTTTATAAACAGTAATCCAGAAAAAATCAATTATGAATCCCAGTCAGTAACTATGCATTGAGAGAAGAAACTGAATTCTTCCCTGCAGAGTGGAGAAATGTGTGTGAAAGAAGAGTTAGAAGTAGGAGTTTTCTACAAGTTCTGATGCTGGAGTGCACCTTCTATGGGGCATGGGTCTTCCAGGACCCTATATAAAAACCCATACAAGGAGTTTTTTTTTCACCCGTTTTGCTTTATTTCCCAGAGAATCTTTGGGAATGGCATGGAAGAGTTCTGCAAGCACCAGCTACTGCAGGCTGCCTCAAGCCTCACACTTTGAAGCATGACTTGAATGCATTAATTGTGCCTGGGATGTGTGGGGGGAGGTCCACCAGCTAGGTGAAGGGAGAGACTGTCTCACACTGGCCTCTATGACAGCACACAAATAACCTCTGTGATTGCTTCCCCTTGCTGGAAGAGTCACTGCTCTGTTGTGTCTGTGATTGCAACTGAAAAATGGCTTCTGGTTTCGTTTTCACACTTAAAACAAATTTTAAGAGTTCATGAAAATGAAATTCAGGTTAAAGCTGCTGATAACACTTGAAGAATCCCAATTTGCAATGATTAGACAATGTTAGACTTGATAGGATGAAACTCACTCAACTAAGGAAACGTGAATTTTGGGATAACTCTCTATTCTTGCCTGTGACTGTTTGTCAGTCACCCCTTCCAGACTTGTGTCTACAGCAGCTCTTAGCAGGATGAAACATGCAGGTGTAGAAGTCACTTAGCAAGTCACTGCTGCCACCCCTGGCTGCTTCTCAGAAGGCTCTAAAGAAAAGACATGGACAGACCAAGCAGATAAATTTATTTTCTGATATGCTTGTTTGTATTTCCTTGAACGATTGTGACATGAAAAAAGATACTATTCCTTCCTGAGAAACCTTGGTAAGAGCTCACAAATTTTTTAAGCCTTAATTGTTTAGAAGCACTGGCAGCTGTTTAATAAAAGGTGCTATGAAGATACAAACTTACCAGTTTATTACAGGAGGAAGAACGCAACTGATTTATTTGATCTTTTACCTTTCTAAATATGCTAAGTATCCTCTTGCTGTCCTTTCTCTAAACACCTGATGCTGGGGTTGTTCTGATTCTGTATGCTCTGATGTGAAGTATGAATGCCAGCAAAGGATGATCCGTTTCACCTCTGCTTAAGGAAAGCCTGTTTTCCTCTCAATGACAGTTATGTGTAACAAGTAAATAAACCATCAAAAGATGGAACTTTTTCTTCTTTAGCAAAATAAAACAACGCAAAGGAGGAGGAGTGGCGGGAGAAGACCAGGGTCTGTAATGTCAGCTTATACTGACTTGTGTAAATTCAGGCAATTGGTGGCTTTAGAGATAGCTGGTAAAGAGCCAAGACCCCAGGATATGTAGGACCTTCCAGTAATATTCTGTAATGTTTCCTGACTCTTAGCTTTTTCTCAAGTATTTTTAGCTGCAGTACTTTATCAGGTTTTGAGGGTTTGGCTTTTCTGTTTAGCTTTTTCTTGTTTAACCAGGATTTGGTGTCTGTTTTTTCTTGTACCGTGAAGACTTCAGATAGGTGATCATCTGAGTTACTGTGAGGAGTCTGTTAAATCAGTATGCCAGAAAAGACCCCTTACAAATGAGGGATTAAAAGAATTACAGGGAATAAGAAGTTAAATTTTTTTTTCAACAGCTTTTCAGTCAAGTAGGTCATATTTAATTAGATGCTACAGTTTTTATAGCATGAAATCACAAGAAAGTGCCCTTTGGTGCACAGTTCTGTTGTAGCACACTTTGAAGTAGAATTGGTGGCAGTAGAAGAACTGGCTGTTCAGATGGCTGTGCCTTTTTTAGCCCTTGTTAGGAAAAGAAGTATGAAAATGATTACTTGCTGAAATCCTTTGACTAAATTATTGCTGCACGCTTTTACTCGTGATAAGTTTAGAATACATAGTCAATCAAGTTTAGTGAAGGAAAATCAGAGTATGATTTTCTTTACTTAGAGCTTTGTATTGTAAAATGGAGAGTATCATATGGGTGGATGCAAATCAGAAATTATTTCTTAATAAGACATAAACCATGTTTCCTTCTTCCTCAAATAACTGTTATACAGCTACAAGGTGAACAGTAGGTGTAATACCTTTGTAGTGACAAATAAATTGCTCATTGGAATTACACTCAGATTTATGAGGTGAGAACTGCAGATATTTGGTTTGAACTTGTTTTAAGGTTTGTAGTCAAGTGAATTCTCAAGACTAGGAAAGAATTATACAAGGGAGTTTGCTGTTAGTGATTGAGAGTGGTTTTAACCAGACTTGGGTATAGAATATCTCATAAAAGGTGAGAAGTCTTCACACTTGTAATTCTGTTTTGCAGGGTGTACATGAGTGAATAAATTTAATTAGAACATTTAATGCAGGGGAAAAAGTCATAATGAGAGAGCGGCTAGAACTGTCAGCTAATTTTTTTCCTCATTTGAAAAAGTTGTTACTCCAAAAATGTATATTGTACCCTAATTAGCATACGTTTCCCATTGCCCAGCTCTGAAGGGACCAAGGGAGAGGGAGCAGTTTGGTGTGCTGGGGCAGGAAGGAGCTTTACTGCAGGTTGTGCAAGGATGCGTCTTTAGCCTTGGTGAACCTGACTATATTTAACCCTGGCTAGCTTACGTGAGTGAGCTCAAGTCTGTGGCATGACATACGAGGAGAGGCTTAGAGCATGCGCCTGGATATGGCTGGGAATGGGTATGAAGAAGAGTGAGGACTTGTGTGGGAAAGGATTAGGTGCAGGACAGAAGAGTGATAGCTGGGAATGGGTGAGAGGAAGGTTCTTTGGGTTAGGAAGGAACAGATATTCTCAGGTGGGGAGTGACAGCAGCTTCAACTCGCTTAGCATCTGGAGGGGTAAAATTGACATTTGTGTGATTTCCAGGTGAAAGGTAATGGGGGAGCGTTGCTCTTACGGGACCTTGCCACTCATCCTCTTGCATCCTCTTGGAGTCATTCAGACACTGGTGTCTCTCCTCCTGCAGCCTGTTTTTCTATCTGAAATATATTGGTCCTTCACTGACAAATTGTTAGAGTAAAAAGGCATGAAAACCAAATTACAGTTATCCACTATTTAGGGGACCATTGTGTCACTGTAATTTCAGAGGGAAGCTTTTTTTTTTCTGTATATGAGAAACTGGTTTTGTGATCATTCACCTGCTTGTATAAGACAAAGGATTTTGAGATGAGACACAAAGCCACTCTGTCAAAATATGCAGGAAGTTCAGAATCTAAGCATGGAGGATAGTAAGGTTTACAAGTTTTGCCTTGAAATATCGCACTCTAAATGTTTTCCTTTTTTGCGGATCTGGGAATGCTGCTCTGTCTTAGATTGAAACGTCTGTTTTGTTTTGTTTTTTCTTCCTGGTATAAATCAAATTTAAATTTGAAATAAACTTTTATAGGCAAGGGCTGTGAAGAATGGTGATGCATTACTTAAATGTATCAAATAAGATACTTTTGTATTCATTTTGAAATGGCATTCAGGGCCTGGAATTGTGTGTAAATTCTAGAATGTGTATGGTAATTTCTGTGCCTTCTCTATAGTTTTTGATTTACTGATAAATAATTTCATTTTGTGGTCACATAAAGTACATGTGGGATCAGAAGGAAAATGAAGGCAATTGTTTTTTTCATTCCTTCTTTATATTGCAGGTAATATAGTACAAAACAGTTCTTCTGCAGGTGTTGTTTGACATGATTCCCATGATGACTGATTTTTACTCTTGACAGGAGAAAATTCAGATCCAGTTGTCACAGTCTTTTGAAAAAGAAGAAAAGCCTGCAAAAGATGAAACAGAAAAGGAAAAATCCAGTGATAAATTGTCCAGAAAAATGTTATCAAGAGGTTTGCTATCTGTCATCGTGCTTTTAAATGTACTGTGTCAATAAAGGATATTTAGAGAAAATGTAGTTTGCTTCCAGATCATGATGGAATAAACATCGGGGGTTTTTATTAGCAAATGAAGCAAACAGCTCGGCCGTCTTTGAGCTGGAGAAGGAACTGGTCCCAGAGGGTACAGTGCTTTTGAGGCTTCATCAGACACGTGTACTCCAGCAAATGTTTTTCCTTTCTTGCCTGCCTAGCTGTGCAGACCAGCATAAAAGCAATTGTGTTGCCTCAGTTGGGTCCAAGTGTTCTTTGGAAAACTGACTTGAGTAGTCAGTGGAAGTTATCTTATTCTTAGACTTTGTTGTTACAGGATTTGTAAAACTTAAGTGAAAATGACAACTACCTTTTTTCTGGCCTTCATTCAACAGAAGTCAATGTTCTTGTTATTTTACTTTTGATAGTTTCTATTTTTTTTTTTTTTTTTTTTAAAGTTTTGGAGCAAGGGTGTAACTACATAAATATGACAAGTATTATGTTTTTGGTTTAATAGTTATGCATCTAATATATATTTAATGTTTTTAATATTGTACAGTTCTTGCTTTGAAGAAAGAATCCAGAATGTTTATCTAAACATATTACATCAGCTAGTGTATAAGAAATATCTTTATGGATAGGATTCTTACTGAGACAGGTGGTACTTGTCCATCTTATGTCCCTCAGTTCCATAAGACCCTCCTCATGTGGCATTTCAGTGATCCTCATCCTACCTGGCAGCCAGATATTTGTGAAATAAAAAGCACTGAAATGCAGAGCATAATTGCATTTATAAACCTCAGGCCTTGAAGTGATGCCTTAAAGGAAAAAAAAAAAAGGTATTCTTTTAGAGCTAACTTACTCAGTCTTTATGGTACATGCTGACCTTGTAAAGTTAGAGGGAAACAAACAACAACAAAAAAACCCACAAACTGCCTCATCCTGCCTAAAACCAAACAGACATTTCACCTCTTCAAAAAAAAAAAAAAAATTAAACCAAACCCTCAGCAAAACCACCCAACACCATAGGTAATGTTGAGGAGTTCAGAGGAAAGTGACAAAATGTGTAAGGTAGCGAGAACTGTTCTAAATTCACCTAATAGCTCCTCTGAAGGTTAGTAATATTAGTTATGTCCAATTTAGGATGTGCTAAAATAGAAAATGATGGAATTTTATCATCAGTCTTCTAGCAATTATAACTAAGTTATTGTCACTTGCAAATTAAAAAAAGATTAATAATTACTGAATCTTAAAGCTGTTTTACCAGGCATACCCTTTTCTTCCCCTTGTCCTCAGGATCAAAAGCAATCGCAAACCATAAATGCTCAAATTTGCTTGGTTACATTTATACTCTTTTGATAATACACAGGCAGGATGGATAGCGTAACAAGCTCTGCACATGAAGCAACCCACTATCATTTTTTAGGGAACTAGAGATTCCCTGTCCTGAGGTGGACTTGGATTTTGTCCAGGAAAAGTCTGTGTCTCACTTGAAGATGGGACACTTCGGTCAGCCTTTTTCCCACTATGCCAAGAGAGGCTGCTGTGCTGGCACTGTTGCTTCTAACAAAAAAGCCTGCATAGATTCTGTTTCCACCAAATCCTTTACTTCTTTGTGCAGTAGTGCTTTTATTGCTAATAGAAGTTGATTTGCAATCTTTGTGCTCCATAGTGACCACTGCAAGACCTGGAGCAGCCAGGATCTAGGCATAAGTTTAAGCAGTGCTTAACTTGCGACTAGGTTAACATACAAGTAGTTCTTGGAAGAAGTGTAGTCACAAAAATCCTACAGCTCTGAATTCTAAGACCTGGAACCCTGAAAGGTGCTCATGTTAGGGAAGATTTGGTGTTAAATAATTTCTTTCAGTGACAGATTTTAGAGAAGAAAACCTAAGTGTGAATACTTAGTTTAATTGAAACCAGGAAGGACACATGAGCTTGTGAGACTTCTTTTTGAAAACTTCTAAACATTATGTTGTGAAAAGAAAGCCCAACAGAAAAAGAATTTTTAATAATACAAAATAACTTTTGTAGTACATTTGGAATGACAATATTTCTTCAGGCAACATCCAGCTGTACATCAGTTGCTGGTCCACAGAAGTGTATACAACAGTGCAATGTAGTTTATTAAAACCTGGAAGACTGATGGGAGTCAGGTGAATCAAGGTAATACACTGCTTCAAAATGTGTATAGCAATTTGGTAGTAGATTGGCAGTGTTACTGAAGCTTTTGCTTCTTTCACATTTGAATTAGGGGATTGAGTGGTGATGTTGTTGGGTTTTCTGTTTTGTTTTTTACATCTGAGGTTTTTCCCTGGAAACTGGAATTGTTTGATTTTGGAAATAACATGCCTAATAGTAACATAGTATTAATCCATAAATACTATGTTCAGACATAAATGGAAAACAATAGTGTCGGTGTTTTTTTTAAAGTGTAATTTTGTTCTCTTCCCCCTCACCCTTAGATTCCAGCCAGGAGTATACAGATTCCACTGGTATAGATCTTCATGAATTTTTAGTAAATACATTAAAAAATAATCCCAGGTAAGTATCAGTAATGTCAACTTTGTCTTCCTTGTTGCCTGAAGTGTCACTCCACCTTTTTTTTTTTTTTTTCATCTCTTCAATGTCTAACACCACATGTCAGTTATTGAGGATGAGATCTTGCTGTGCAGGCTGTCTGGAACACCAATCCACTGTAATTTGTGTGTTACATGGACAGAGGATTAGGACATTTAAATGGTTTAAATATTTTTAATGTTCAATAGGCAAATAACAAGTTCTGTTCTCTCCCTGAAAGTACTCAAAAACTATGTCTCTAAAACTTGTACTCTCTTAGCATCTTCTTGTTAGAGACCAAACTGCCTTCTCTTACTTTAATCTGCCTTGTACTGAATTTATAGCCAAAGGAATTTTTTTTTAAGCTGTACCATATAACCATCATTAGACGCATCTTCACTCTGCACATCAGAAACAAAATCTGACCTAATTCAAGTCCGTTACTTGTTAGCAACAGAGCTGACATGGTTCTGTTGCTTTGAGGTTTACTGGATGCTTGCTGCGTGTCTTGTTTGTTCTTTTCCTCACTGGGGTTTCGTACTAGGTCTGTGGCTATACATACAAGGCAAGAAATTATTTTGGAATTGTGCTGCTGTTGCAAAAGCTATTCCAATCCTACTCATTAATATTATAGTTATTATTTCCAGTGTGATAAATTATTTGGATTCCATTTTACTTGTGTAAAATGAAGTATAATAAGGGGCCAGCACCATTTTGTCCTAGAGAGTAAAATTAGTTAACATGGACCTCTGCTAGACTCTTACATTGTTCCTATTTGAAATCATAAAGCATCCCAATGAAAATAAGAAATGGTAGGTTAAGGTCTGTTCTGGATTTCCATCCATGGTAACAGGGAAGGTTAGTTATCTGATGTGTGCAGACTATGTATTATGAGGCAGTTAATTTCATTACATGTTAATAATTTATTTGAATTGGCATCAAGATTTTTAAGACCAATGTTCGTTTCTGTCACCTTGAGTTTTCGCTTCTCTGTGCTCTCTTAATCTCATCACACTGCAGTTTGTGCCAGTTTTTAAGCACTTGGTTGTTGGTACGTTGTAGTAGTGCCTCCCGTTACCAGTGCTCTGTCACTGTCTCAGTGATCCCAGGATGTGCTTCACTATCCAAGGGCCAGTTCAGGCCTCTGTGAACCTTAATACCCAAGCTAACCAACAAGAGACAGCCTAGTCACTGCTCTTCCTGCTTCTTGAGACTGTCTTCTCAATGACTATTTACTGTTGAGCCTACTGGGTAGTCATTACCTGGGGGATCTTTATATTCTGAGATAGTTTCACTAGGCAGGTTCAATACAATATAGCTTGAGGATGAATGTTGTCCTAAAAATACTGCATTTGACACCTGCTGGTCCTGTTTGCAGTCTCCCATCATCCCTTGATCATAGATCTCATCTGTGTATTCTTAAGATGAATACAGCCACAGTTATTGGAGTGTCTCATATGTGAGTTGCTGTGTTTTTATTTTCAGGGACAGAATGATGCTGCTGAAATTAGAACAGGAAATTTTAGATTTCATTGGTAATAATGAGTAAGTACTGTACTCCTATAGGGAAGAAAAGAGTTCAAGACTGTTCCTGTTGATTAAATAAAGCTACTACTCCTTTTTTCCAGAGTTCCAAGAAAAAAGTTTCCCCCGATGACATCTTACCATAGAATGCTGTTGCACAGGGTAGCTGCTTACTTTGGATTAGAGCACAACGTGGACCAGAGTGGGAAGTCAGTCATAGTAAATAAAACTAGCAATACAAGAATGTAAGTGTAAAAGTCTTGGAAAAACTTTTTGATGCGTAGATTTAACACCTGGGATGTATTATGCAATGCTGCTCCATCTGTTGCAGCAGCGGTCTGTCTGCTCAATGGGAAACATGCATCAAGGAGAGGTAGTTGCAAGATTTTTACTGTTCATATTCCAGTGCTGTGTCCTAACATGATCTGTTTAATGTTTAAATTCC